TATAGTTTTCATGCTATAACTTTTAAATTAGTAAGCATATGTTCACGAAATTTGGCAGATTATCAGTGAACATTACACAGCTTTCATACTGAAAATATCTTTTTTTTTTATTAAGTCTTAAAGTTTGTTAAGCAATGTTTTTCTCATGCCTTTTTCTTTTCATGTTGTCTATCCAAGATGCAAAGTAATTTTCATTTTAAGATTAAAAATACTTCTATGCATCAGAAAATGTTCAAATTTCACATGTGAAATCTTTATAATGTTTGGATAATTATCACACATTTCTTTAAAAAAAACTTTATATTTTATCCATTATTTTCACTAATGAATCTCTGTAGGGGTTTTGTCAATTTCACCGATCTTGTAACCACCATAAAAATTAGGAAATAAATATGAATTATGCCCTTTTTGTTCTAGAATGACTACAAATTATTACACATTATACATTTATATATATTTATTATTTTTATTATATTGACCTTTCAGCTATGCCTGGCTAATAATACAGAAGTTACAATAATGCGATGCATGTGCACTCATGTTACCATATCCAATAATATAAAACTCTCCTTTAGTCTTTACAAAGTAACCTGTCTTGGCTGTGTTTTAGAGAACTAGTATTTTATAAAAAAACAGTCACATTTCAATTACTACATATTATATATGTATTTACATTATTACTATTTACAAATAATTTCTTAAAATTATTTTACTTAAAATATGGAATAGTAAATAAAGAAGTTATGATCTTTGTATTTGTTTGCTGCTTGTCATAGAATGTTGAGCCTTATAAAATTTTGCACGTGGAGGATGTGAAATGAAATAATTCTTTTTTAGGTTTTGTGTATACATTTGAAATAACCAAAAAATCATAAAATACTATATCAATACCATAGAATTCCACTATAATTTATCAAGCTTAGTAACTAAGCTGTATTTAGGTCTATAAAAATATGAAATTTTGAGCAGACAAAAGATTCAACTTACCAGCTTGAAGGTTTGTATTGAAAGAATGAGATAACATCATAATATTTGAAAATGGCTGAGAAAGCCACTAGGGGGATATTGAGCTTTCAAATGGTTATTCACATATCATAGACAGAAGTAAGTATATATAAGGGAGAGTTTCCAAAAATGGAAAGAGGTGAGCAGGGCCACTGTGTTTGATTCAGTACATGAGCAATATCTCAACAAATAGAATATATAAAAAACTTTTTTTAATATTCTAGCTTGTCAATATCGATAATTTGAGTTCCTTATTCGAACAAAACCATAGACTTTGTATTTGACCTCACAAACATCTAATTTGAACCAGTGCTGCATTCAACATACCATGTGACACACAAAAATCAAAGTTTATGTGTGTTTTTTAATATTTACTTTTAAATCAACAAAATTATCTAATGTATAATACTAAAATTTTAATTATAATTTACAGTTTGATACCAAACTTATTGACATAAGGTCATAAAATAGTAGTCCAATAAAATTTTGAATGCAAGTCAACAGACACGATGACATGACCTTTGACCCTTGTGGAGAGGGTTAAATTAGGTTTGCACATCTATTACAGAGATAATTTAAAAATTTTTTTTATATCATTATCTCTATCATACAATATTTTATTATATGCTTTAATAAATCCAGAAACCCATCCATTAGAAATGCATCTGGTTTTGTTGCCAATAAAATGGGTATAAAACTAAGAGCCTGCTTCTTGAACTATGTTACTGTAATGCTGGGAAATCTGATGTCAGAGGAAGAGGTTCATCAGCAATGTATGGAGATAATTACAAATGCTCCTTAAAACTGAAACATATTGCAGGAGCTTCTTTGGTAGGTATTCATATCTCAACAAATCAAGAAGAAAGATATATTTTATATTCTTGCTTGTAATTAAGTATAGTTTGTATTTCTAATTGCTTGGACACACTGTATTATTGAAGTTATGAAATCTAAAAGGGAGAATTCAGAGAGCAGATACATCAAATGATACAGAGAAGGGAAGAGAGAATTTTTTTAAAATATTTCCCTTCAAAATTATGAAGTTAAAACTTTGATAATATAACAACTTAAATTATAAACTATGTTTTGATGTCGAGTTTATTGACATAAATTGATAATACACTGAATGTAGATCAGTAAAAGTCTGCAACCTGCATGCTTTGACCAAGCCATACATATACAGACAACAAAGCTCTATTGACAAATCTGTAAAACAAACCCATGAGAGTGTGTTTCTAGTAATTATTTTCAGTAATTTGGAAGTTATCATATTAATGATTAATATAAACCTTCTTGTACAACTGATACTACCCTACAACCAACATTGTGAGAGAACACTATTTAAAACTATTAAAAGGTTTGAAACTACTTAAAAGTATTAATTACTTAGAACTGCTTCAATAAGAAGCTTACCTCAGGGGGCTCAACTTTTGAAGATGTCCATCAGATCCTCTTCTAAAGCTTGCATGTGATTCCTTCTTTCCTTCAGGTGATGTCTCAAGTGGAAAGTAAACACCAATGTATGTTCCCATGGCTAAAATCAGGTTACAAAACAGACTGGAAAACTCTTCCATGGCACAATGCTCCATTTCAGCTACACGAAACAATTCTCGCAGAGCACAAACTGCCTAAAAGAAGAATAACGTTTAAAACTGTACACTAAAAGTTATGGTGCATGATGTGAAATACCTAATTTACTCATAATATGCACAAAATATTTTCAACTCAAGTCATGTTAATTATTTAGGTGAATATTACAGTATCAGTACAGAATTATTAAATATTCGAATTTTCTTCTATTATAGAGTTAACTCTGTTTGCTAAGGTTTCTCAAAGTTGAATTTATCAAATTTAAAAATATGTACAATATTAATATAATATAAAATATAAGTTGAAATGGCTTTAAAGTGATGTTAAAATAAGTATTGAAACAAATCAATGGTGTTTAAGATATGCTCTTAACCCTGCGTTAGTCTTCTGTAAACATTTTCCATAGTCACTCTTACGGAGTCCAAATGGACCCTATCGTAAAAAATTAATTTAAAAATATTTAAATAATAATAATAATAATGAAGGAAACAAATAATTGGAAGCAAAAATGCTAACACTTAAAATCTTTTCCTTTATTAATCAATAAAGAACATTGAATATTACAATTTTTCTTTTTTTACCACCTAAACTAAATGTAACAATTTAACACAAACTAGCCAAATACTGAAGCTACTGAGAACAACAAACATGTACACGCTTCCACCTGTCGGTTCAATGTTTACAAAATATTTGGGGTCCTTGAAGAACCTCGAAGACTAATGCAAGGTTAAGCAAAATAGCAAAGAGATTAATTAAAAAAGAAAATCCACAAATTATGCTATTTAATATCTATTGGAGCATTGCCAGTGCTCTCTAACTTTATGATTGAGATGTTAAATTATCCAAATATGTGCCTAACTCAAGTAAATTTAGCAGAAAATATTTTGCTGTGTCACAAGAACACTAACTCCTTCAACAGCTACAACAAACTACATAAAATATGAAGAAAATAAAATCAAGAAAACTCCAGCCTCCCCACCCAACAAAAGGAATTTTTCATAAATCTATCACACTTTTTAAAACTTATTACCAATTCTTTAGTATAGCATGAGTAAAAATACCTATGTTCTGGTAGATTTTAATGTATACAGGTGGGATACTATACTCACTTAACAGTATATATGCAATTATCTATAAGTCAGATATCTTACTGCTAATGATCGTGACGTGGCCACCTGGATGACTTGTTTGCGGTGTTTGGGATCAGGATGGGTTTCCAAAAGATTATTATCACTTAAGATATCCAGAAGAATTTCTAGAATATTTCTCCCTATGACTGAATCTTGTCCTAGAACTTTCCAACTGTCAATCACATGGCTGCCATGCAAGTAGAGATAAAATAAAATTCTTAAGATTGTCAAATTTCCCAACCAAGTTTACTTTCCATTTCTAATGCGCCTAATTTAAATGAAAAATAATATAAAGCTACAAAAATATGAAAGTAATAAAGATGAATATTAAAGTTAAGACTAACTTAATGCTTTAAAAGAAGCTTTTGTATAAATTTAATTATAATTTTCATTGGTCACATAACATACATTAAAAAAAATGTAAAAAAAAGGGGGGAAAGAAAAATTAAGATTAAATTTATCTGACTGTTTGACAAATACTAGCAGAAAATGTTAGTTTACTAATAATGATAGGGTAAGTTATCACTTTTTATCACAAGGACTAAAAAAATAATGGAACATTAAGTGTATCTGGTCTCAAGTAATTACTTAAATATTACAACTAGCAGCTGGTGTCTAATAATGACTAGCCTTGAATGTTAACACCACCAGCTGGTGTCTGATAATGAATATCCCTGAATGTTAACACTACCAGTTGGAATCTGATAATGACTATCCTTGAATGTTAACACCATCAGCTGGTGTCTGATAATGAATATCCCTGAATGTTAACACTAACAGTTGGTGTCTGATAATGATTAGCCTTGAATGTTAACACTACCAGTTGGCATCTGATAATGACTATCCTTGAATAATGAATATCCTTGAATGTTAACACCACCAGCTGGTGTCTGATAATGAATATCCCTGATTGTTAACACTAACGGCTGGTGTCTGAGAATGATTAGCCTTGAATGTTAACACTAACGGCTGGTGTCTGATAATGATTAGTGTTGAATGTTAACACTAACAGTTGGCGGCTGATGATGATTAGCCTTGAATTGTAGCATTATCAGCTGGTGTATGACAATGACTAGCCTTGAATGTTAACACTACCAGCTAGTGTCTTATTATGACTATCCCTGAATGTTATCACTACCAGTTGGTGTATGATAATGACTACCTTTGAACAACTGGTAACAACTCGATAAATTTGACTACCCATGGCCATTAATCACATTGATTAGTTATCACAAAGTAATCGGTTAAGCAAAATGACAATCTGATTAATGTATAAAAATAATCAACTAACTGAAATTAAGTTTCTGATTATTGGAACCATTTCCAAATATTATTATTTTTTATGATTACTACTATTCAAATCTTATGTGAGAATAATCAATTAGTTGAATGTAACTGATTAATTATTACTCAATTATCAAATTCCCCAGCTCTAGTAACAACTAACAAAATAAGTTAAGACATAGTTTATATGGTGTCTGAAAATAACAAACAAAACACACTACGACTGCCAGTTACCTAGTGTCCAATAATCACTAAGTATGTTAAGAGAACCAGTTATCTGGAATACAGTCAGCTGGCCTGGTGTTTGGTAATTATAAATAGGACTGGTGAAATTGATAGCTAGTTTCAGCCCTAATAATGATTAAAATAATACGTTACTAACTATTAGATATTTTTCCATGACTTTATATGCATGACTTACTCATCAAATGGAAGATGTGCAGTCATTAAAGTAGACACCACAGCTGTAAGGTGATGAGAACCAAGAGAACGCACCACACGAAGAGTGCCTGTCCTAGTCTGAAGACAGCCAATACATTCTAATTTTCTTCTAAGAGCTTCCAACAATTCTGGAACCTAATAAAACATATGAAATACAGCTCAGTATGTACATAGATAGATATCTATACAATAATGTTCTTCTTGTCAGCCACGAATTCTTACTATAATGAATAAGAAACTTTACCTACTAACCTACCTACTTATCTACATTTATTTTGATGAAACAAAAACAGCGTTAGAAAGAAAACATTTTCCTTTATCAAAGACCAAATTCACAAATTTTTGTTTTGGTGCAATATACCAGTGTTCAAAAATTTGATAGAATTTTCTAGTTTCAATAAACTAATAATCTGAATTTATCAAAAGAAAAGAAACTTTAGATAACATGTTAAGAACTTTAGAATAATTTTTTTCCATTGTACGACCTTTTATAAAATAACACGTTTGTAGTACTTCAACAAACTACTTCCATTTCTGAAAACATCTCCATAACCAGATTACTTGACCTTCAATCAGAATAATTTTTTTGCAACTAAGGTTTCCATAACCAACTACTCGCCTTCAGCCATTGTCCTTAAACAATTATTTTACATTAAACAAAGATCTTGTTTACAATACTATCTCACCTTCAGCAATTGTCCTTAATGACTGCTTTACTGTAAACAAAGATCTCTTTAACAATACTATCTCACCTTCAGCAATTGTCTTTAACGACTGCTTTACTATAAACAAAGATCTCTTTAACAATACTATCTCACCTTCAGCAATTGTCCTTAAACGACTGCTTTACTATAAACAAAGATCTCCTTAATAATACTATCTCACATTCAGTCATTGCCCTTAAACACTCAACTTTATCAACAGTAGACTTCCTTAACCAGACTGCTTTACTTTAAACAAAGATCTCTTTAACAATACTATCTCACCTTCAGCAATTGTCCTTAAACGACTGCTTTACTATAAACAAAGATCTCCTTAATAATACTATCTCACATTCAGTCATTGCCCTTAAACACTCAACTTTATCAACAGTAAAGACTTCCTTAACCAGACTGCTTTACTTTAAACAAATATCTCCTTAACAAAAGTATCTCACCTTCAGTCACTGTCCTTAACCACCCAACTTTAGCATCAGTAAATACTTCTTTAACAAGACTGCTTCACTTTAAACAGATATCCTTAATAATACTAATACATAAAACTCTTCTTTCCTTTTCTTTTACTCTTAGCTTCACCACTAATTAAAATCTGATGAAAGATGGTAAATTGGCTCTATTTCCAATCAAGAATTATAACCACATTAATTTTACCTCTTGAAATGACTTAATTTAAGACTTTAAAATATATTAATCTGATAAAGAGTTAAAAATTATTGAACAAAGTTTAATGTTTGCAATCTTCCATGAAACATTAATACGAATTAAATGCATTGTGTTTTAGTAATTTAAAATAGATGAAACATTCTTATAAACTTTCTTTAACCTACTATTAACTATATCTTAATCTTAACAATTCCTTCAGATTATTAAAGGTGCAAAAAACTGGCATCACATTCTCTAAACCTGAAACATAATAGTTATGAGAATTTGAAATAAAACCCTATATCAGAAGTTTTGAGAATCACGTACATTTAAAAAGACCTTAAACCAAGCATTTAATATTTTTGTATACTTGAAGCACAAACCTTGAAGAACAAGTTTAATATTTATGTAGATCAAAAGTAAAAAAAAACTTGAAAAATTTATATTTAAATCTGAGGTTTCAGACACAAATAGATCTGAATGAGAAGCTTGATCTTCATGCACATGGAAACATTACCTCTTGACGTAACTCTCCTCCACGAAGTTTGATTATCCCATTTAATACTACACAAGCACCAGATGAACTCTGAGATAATGGATCACAGAGACCATTTAACAGGGAGTAAAGGCAGAGTGATAATTGGTCAGGGGGAAGCTTGGCTGCAAATACCTTGAAAAAAAAAGCATAAAAAAATTATTTGAAATAATTCACATTTACTAAGCTATTTGTGATTTGTCAAAAAACAAAAATAGTGGAATACAATTTTATGTTCCAAATCCTTACTAAGCTTTTTTCTGTAACTTACATTATCAGCATTAATATATTGAGTATTCCATCCTTGTTACAAATTCAAAATAAATAAGAACAACAGTCTTCATAACAGATGTTGAATGTGATCCTGGAGCTTGAAACTAATTCTAATTCTATACTATAAATTTTAGAATAAATGTTTTTAAATAGCACTTGAAATTCACAAACAGAAATTATCCTACTATATTTGAAGTTTTTGCCTCTAAACTCTCGTATAGGAGAACAAACTTTGAGCTCCTATATTTCATAGACAGAAGTCTAACAAACTAGTGTATTTTCACAACATACTGATTTAATACTCACCAATTGAGCTATCAGTTTGCGAGTCTCATTTACAATAATTTTCTAGCATAAATATGTTTTCTTCTGGGCAAACATGAATGGACATGTATACATTCTCCGGCACAGATGCAGACCTGTACTGATTGGAATGGAAGTGAATTTGCAAGCAAATGGGATGGGCAGTGCATGTATACATATTCCATGTCTGTATAAGGGAATAGTTTGCCACATCACGAACAACCTGCTTATGGTAATTATGGGGATAATTTTGAGAGCAAAAAGTTAAATACTAGTCAGTAGTATAATAAAACTCAAGTTTAATGTCCAAATTGTTATTTTATAATTGTTGTATTATATTTATGTTGTAATATTTTGGCACTGATCCTCTAGAGAATAAAATTTCCCCTACATTATAAGCTAAGGTGAAACTTTTGTTTCAATGTGAATTTTGAGGCCTGATGATAAACAACACCTTATCTACTATGATTTGAAAATGGATATACTGTATACAAATATTAATCATAAAATTTCAAGAAAAAAGAATTTTTAACTGGTCTTTAAAATATGTTATGTTTCTTTTATATTTTAGCATTGACGAGTTATGATGAAATTCAAGTCCACATTCAGCATCTTTATCACGTTTTCCTAAGTAATGGAAGGTTAAATTCACAAGTCTTAGTAGTATATTTTTGTTTTCAGGGTCTGTGAATTCCACCAAACTTGAAACCACCATAGTTTCCATATTATACCTTTTAATATGGAAAGTGTATCTTCACAAAACCTGATAAGTTTTCAGTAAACATCACGAGTCTTTTGTACACAAAAAATCAGATTTTCTACTTAAGTATTTTTAATAAAACTTTGTCCATGAAAATACTAAGTCAGAGAGTTGACTGCTCCAAAAGCAAAGTGATTTTATTTCAAGATTAAAAATACTTTTCTTCGTCTGAAAAGTTCCAAAATTTCTATTATGTAACCTCTAAAACTTCCTAAATAAATATCAAACTATTTCTCCAGTAAAACTTTGTATCTTATCTGTTATTTTGTCTAACTTAACTCTATACAGACCCCATCAATTTGCCCAACTTTGAAACCATCACAAAAAAAATAATTAAACTACCCTTTTCTTTCTATCTAGAATGACTGCAGACTGTAACAGGAAACTATATGTTTATCCTAAATAGCTTAAGGATCAAAACAGTCTACATCTGTTTCTACTTAATTTTATTGTTTTATTTCCCTTTGAACCATGTCTAACTAATAATCCCACCATACAAGTTGTGTGGCCAAAGAATAATTGAGAATGCAACTTAACTGAATTCAATCAACATTGGGAGCCCAACTGGTAGCTATAATTATAACAATGATTAGAATTTTGAAGTAAATATTCATTCATTAGTTAGCTTGGTCATGTATTTTGTTTTACCCATCATGTCTGAAACTGAACAAAAAAATGTGACCTAGCTAACTAATGAATGAATATTTGCTGTAAAATTATTATCAATACTATAAATGTAGCTACCAACTTGGTCACCAATGTTGGTTTAATTCCTTTAAATTGCATTCTCAATCATTTTTTGGCCACACATCTTTTTCTCACACCTAAGGTGTTTTTGATTACATTTTCCCTAATCCAACCTCATCAAACCTAATTAGTTTTCAGTTTTTAAATTTTAGTTACTTTTGTAACAATAAATTAAAAAGATACATGAAAGACAAAAAGTATAGTACAATAAAGCATCATATGTCATTCGACAGATTAAAACAATGCCTTTCCATTGGTTACAAATGATACAATATTAAACATTAGAGAGAATTAGTGGCAATTTGTGAAAGAGAGGATGCAATAGGTAAGCATGGCAACTGGGCCTGATTTTCTAGTTCATGACTTCATATACAAATAAAATTGAAGACTATAAAAATTAGACTTTTCCTTAGTAATATCTATATTATGATAAATAACTTACATTCAACTCTATACTTCAGAGACGGGTGATAAACAAATTAGAGGGGGGAAAGACGTAGAGAACAAATGTCATGATTCTCATATAAAGGAAGATTGAGGATGTATCTAAATATTTCCTTATCAAATTTATAAACTAAAATTTATTGTAATATTAAAATTTGATTTACAAACTAAGTTCTGATGCCAAGTTTATTTCTATACAATGATAACAAAAAAGTTTAATTAAATTTTAAACGTAACTATAAAATGTCATGACATGCACATTTGACCTACCTGTAGCAAAAGGATTAAACTATCATGTGATTTACCTTTGCAAGTTCATTGGTTACATTAAACAGAGATGATGGATCATTATTTAAAACATGGCTCTTTAAGTTCTCCAATTGAATCAATGCTTCATTCTCATCCAGAGTTCGGCCTAAGGAATATTACAAACAATTACCAATATAAAACCAAAGTATCTTACTTCAACATATCAAAATTTTTATACAAATTACACACGTCTATAGGAGGATATTTTTTGATTAATGTTTAACATAAAAGCTAATCAGAAATGAACTACAAAATTTAATATTTTACCAACTCTTATTTATGCATCATTTTCTTCTGTAATATTCTTTAAAATTTTCTCAAAAAAAAAAAAAGCTTCAAAATTGCAACATGATTTTCTGTTAAGGAATGGAAAGGCAGAGAGACTTTTGGTATGTATTGAAACTTGAAAAAGTGCTATTTAATGTAATAGCTTATCTTCAGAAAACTTGCAATCCAAGAAAAATTTGAAAAATAAAAACAAAAATACTCTTATATACAATGAGTTTGAGTACTTTTGTTTCATCCTAAAATTGACACATTTAGTAAAATAAGAGACCTTACTATTTTTACATACTCTGGGAACGACTGACAAGGAGTAATTGTGTATATACACATTCTAAAGCAGTTTTCCGAATTTTCAGAACTGGATCTGTGCAACGTGGAACAAGAATACCAAGGATACTACCAAGTGTAGTAAATAGTGTAAAATTCTAAAAAAAAACAGAAAGATCACCAAATGATTAATTACTCATACTTACACAAGAAAAACAGTCCATCTGAAGAGCTTTAGATTTTCAATACAAAAACCATGTAGGAAATGAAGAAAACTGTGGTTGTAATTACAAATTTATTCAGTCTCATTAACTTTATCAAATCTAAACATTCCTGAAAAATATTTTTAAAGCTCAATTTTCATACAAATGGAACTCACTGAGTTATCAATAAAAAAACAAAAATATATTTTGCCACAACACCAAAAACAACTCTGCTGCATTCAATGTGTACAATCATACAGCTGCAGACACAATATAAACAGTGTATATTCATAATGTAGTCACTCAGCTGCAACATCAGTAGAAATCATGGTCCATTTAACATTTATACAATCACTCAGATGCAGAAATAATACATGTGGACAATCTAACATGTTTACAGATACTCAGCTATAAAGCCAATAAATACTGTCATTCAGCTGCAGTATTAGTATAAATAACATTCCATTAAGAATGTATACAGTCACACATCTGTTATACCAGTAAAAATGGTGTACAATCTAACATGTGCAGAGGTTGAGTATGTTATATTAAAATGATTTTGAATATGCAAATCAACTAGTCACATGACAACTATAGCCAATATACAATCACAGTAAAATAGAATTAATATTCAACATTTTGCATTGTTTCTTAGAGAGTGTGATGCCACTGAAAAATGATCACTTTTGGGAAGAATATGTAACAGCCCTTTCTGATGCAAAATATTCATACAGTTAGATCATAAGGATGTGTTCAGATTGGAGTTTTAGAATTTTCAAGAATGGGATATCATTTATAATCTATGATACTGAGAGACTAAGTAATATGGATCAACTTTGGGGATCTGAGCGAGAGGCCTGGAACAAGTTGCAGCCCAGCTAAAGTAAGCAAAGCATAGTGTGTTGTTACAGATGAGCATCCACAAACTCAAAGATCAGTGACAAAAGCCATTCACATGCTCAGACATCAGTGTGCTACATAATCAAGAAGAATTTCCAACTGGAAAAGCAATATAAGTCACATTTACACAAGTTGCTTCCACGACGTATCCATTTCAAAGTCACATACCTGAAACAGCTACAGAATGAAATAATCATACATTATACATGAAGACATACCAGCAAAATCATCAAATGCAATTGCTATACACTTCTGTTTGCTTAGACTGTAAAAATTGTCACTGGAACACTGTCTTCCTACTACACCAAATAGATTATGGAAAGCAGCAGGGAAGAAAGGCATGCTTTGGACATGACAGCCTTATGGTGAAGTCTTTTACAATGTAAACTGTGCTGCAGGACTATTATCAAAATACATAGTAATCAGACAGACTATGATCAGATGTGGTGAAATGGACTGTAATGGCATGGTGAGGCTCGAGATTCGTTATAATATAACATACTCACCCTCTGTATACAGCCATGCAACAAGTAGAAACAAGGTTCCATTCACCATGCATGGCCACTCACATGCAATGGTAAATGTACACATATAAAGAATCACCACATCAGTCTAACCTAACATGTATTGAGTTCCTCAGATGCAAGACCAATAAAAACAGCAATATAACATGCATACACTCAGCTGCAACATTAATAAAAATACTGTTTAATTCAAAATGTACAGTTAGTTTGATTTAACACTAGTGGAAATGCTGTAAAATCTAACAAACAAGCACATACTTAATTACCAACAAGTGTTCAATCTAACTTGTATATAAACAGTAGTAACCATACATTTCATGAATTTAAATACCTATTTCAAATATTTTATGAACTGGTTCCACTTAAAAAAAGTCAAAATTTAGAAAATTATTTTCATCTATGAATTTTTTGTACTTACCCCTATTTTCAAGTTTTCAAGATATGCTTTCAATAATCCCAAAATAGAATCAATGCAGCATTCTCTTTCATAATCGTGTTTTGAGTTGAGCCATCGAAGCAAAGTCTATCAACAAAAAATATTAGCAAACATTGTTATACACAAAATTTGAAACTCATTTTCAGAAAATACTGTTATTTGTTTTACAAATATAAATATTTGGTACTTTTATTGCAAGATAAATTTATTTGTATACTTGGCTTAATATGAAATTACAGCTCAAAATGCTGTTTGACTGTTCTGTAAAAACAAATGTTTTTTAAAGGGTAAAACCAGAAATTACTGTCAGTAATAAGATATAATTAATGATTATTGCAAACATATGATATGATAAAAAGAGTGTACCACAGTCATGACCCACAATGCTTTTATAGGTTATATAACATAGCAATATTACATTTTGATTTGTTTTCTTTGGAGATGAGTATTAACAGTACTGTATTGTAAACACAATCATTCAACTATGAGGAATAATTAAACAAAAATTTTAAATATAAGGTTAAATAATTAAATGTAGTAATCAAGATATATGAAAAGTTTAACAGTTAATATGTAAGGCTCTTCATGCTGAAAAACAGATTTATGGAAGACAATGAATGTATATAGATAAGTTTGAACTTCTATTTTCTTTTCTATAGATCAGCAGCTTAGACTCAGTGAAATGTCTAAAATTGGTGATGGCTTTTGGCAAGAAGCTACTCAAAACTGTTAAACAATTCTCACTTCTAAATTTGTGATGGTTAATAACTGCTCTCCGCATTTTAATTCCAACTCTTGTGTAATTCCCCAAATAGCATCAATCCTAATCCTGGAATTGTTCACCATTGTCCATTTATAGAAAGACTCTAAAAGTAAATTCTTTATTTTCCATGATTATTATTTCATCTACAGTTAGTTGCCTTCCTTTCCTTGTTGTTATTCCATTGCTTTATAGTTTTTCTAATTCTTTAATTTTTTAAAGTTCTTTTAAAATAACTTACCTTTTGATCTCTAGAATCAAGTATTTCCACTTTTAAATAAGCTCCTTCCTCCTTTTTTATTATACAGTTTTATATTTCAAGTATATTTTTATTCCTTCTTTATATATATGCAATTCTTTTCATTTTTGCCATACTCTTCCGTATCTTGTTACTTTTAGCTAAGTACATGCTCTTGACATTTCCATTGCCAGTCAGAAGTGGTTAGCTTTTCCATTCCACTTGACACACTTCCTGCTTACCTTACTTCTTTTTCTTACCCCCACACTCTTTAACCTTTTTGTTTCTGAAGAAACTATTTGAAAGCACTTGAGCTTCTGGTATACTTGAATATTTGTGCTAACTCTTTCATCAGTGCCAATGTTAGATTTTGATAATATAAAAAAACTCAGGTTGAGTTTCACACATAATCTGTATTAATAACTGTACACATGTATTACTAAGTTATTGGAAAACAGAAGGAAGGTAATGAAATTAAGAAGAGAAGACTGAAATGCATCGAGCATTATTAAAATAAACAAAAAAAGGTTTATAATAAAATGTAGTACCCGAGATATCAGTAAGGTGATTTACATTTGACTAGTAATTTATTGGGGATATTACACTATCAGGGAGGGTTCAACACCTCCATTAAAGTTGCCAAAGAAAAGGAGATGAAAAACCAATAAGCAGGTATGAAAACTGTGATAATGTAATACAAGATTCTTGCTCTCGATCTGTTATTTATCAAGTACTGTAAGCTACCTGAGCAAGAGGCTAAATCCTAAATCTTTCACATCATGAGGAGAGGTTTTGACTTAATCAGCATAGAACATTTCAGTATTCTCAAAGTGTGATGATGCTTTCAAATGGAAAAACAGTAGCATACTTGATATCACCCATTCATACTAGAAGAGGTTTCTTATGGTAGAACTAAAAAAATTAGTATGTACTTAGCTACTGGAAATGTTTCATTAACTTTACCCAAAATATGTTAGTAATTATCAATCAGAAAAAAAATCAAATAATTTCATTCTTAATAAATGTTTTCCATTTGCAAGTAGAATTAGGTTTTCCAAATGATCAAAAACTTCTCAGATCAGTTGAGTCGAAGCATGTCTTATTATGTTCTAGAGTTCTGGTTCAGGATTAGAAGTCACCTAACTTTATTAGTTAGAACATTCACTAGTCAACATTCCTTGTCATGTGTTACCTGTCACTGATGACTATGTGTCTCTTGTAGAAAAGGAAAACCCAGCAGTATTCTGTAAAAAATGCACTATAAAAACATTAAAAGTTCAAGATGTTTCTTCAGGATCATATATCAATGCTTTCATCTTAATCTGCTTTTCCACCATTTTCAATTTTAGAAACTTTTGGAACCTTTCTGTTCTTTTCTACATCAAGTGAATTAAAACTTTTGACTAAATGTTAATCTAAAACTATTATTTTACAAATAATGTAATGATGGAAGAGTTATACAAACAGCTTTGTTCCCCATTCATGGTACTTAAAAGTTACATATAACTTGGGATCTTCTAGTATTAAAAAGAATTAGGAATGGTAATACACATTCCCTATCTGTTCATAGTCTGATATAGCACAGCAGCTTTCTTATCATATGTACAGTGAGTACTTGCATTATCACAGAAACCAAAACAAAGTTTGTTTCTTTATCAAACGTGGTCTTTTATGTACTATTTACAGTGTTGCTTCTAGGATTTTTCTCAAGTGGGCCAAATCCCCCACTGAATTCCAGAAAGTGGGCCATCCATGTAATGAAGTAGGTATCAACTTCATGAGTCATAAAAGCACAATACGATCAAGTAACTTTTATTTGAAGAAACAGTAAATTGAATCATTGCAATTTGTTTCATTTGTGTATGTACTGAAAATATGGTAAAATGTGGTGTGTAAGCTAAATCTGATCAATTAATCCACTTTCGTCAAAACATCTAAGTATTCACTGACAAAACTTGCATTCATATTTTCTGCACCTTTTCCCTTTATTTATTTTATTTTTGCATCATTTTTTAATTAACTAGTACACAGGCAAATGATTATTTTGCACCAGTGGCAATAAAAATAGCATAAATACACAAAGTATGCATCCTAGAAGCAACAATGCATGTGTATATTCAAACCTTCCTTTTACTACCTCTTCTAATTTCCAACAAATTTTTCATTTTTGAATACTGGGTCTTATTTAACTGTGAAGAGAACAACTGGTGAAATTACATGGCAAGTTGGATTATCAGTGAAACAGTGCAATAAAATTATGTGTGAGACTCCTAGTATATTCTACATACACATGTATGACACAAAGAAATAACAAGCTGGATAATCCATGCATGTACAGATCAATGAAATGGTTAGCCGGAATGGCTAAATGCATTTTTAACATGAAAGCACAAACTACTAATTTTATAACATAATTATCACATGGGTCCTCCAAGAGATTTATTTTTCTTAACACTGAATAACTTACCATTATAATAAGCTCTAAGTTCTCTGGTGTCATCTCCTTTAATAAAATCTGTCTCAGCAGGCTATTTAGTGACGTCAGTGTGATACTTAGTGTTTTCTCATAATCAAACTGCTCCTCTTGAGGCTCAGCAGGAGATCGAGTCAGTGCATGATCTGGAGGGATAGTGTAAACCGAACCCACAGCTGTTAAAATTAAAGTGGATTTTTCTTCCTTTGTGAGGCCTGGATCTAACATACTGAGGTTTACGAATCAAGGACTGTTAAACCTAAAGAAACTGCACCATTTCTTAAAATAAGTTATCTATTTGTATTACTTAATATCAAAACAACAAGTACTCAAAAATCATATACTGATGTACATAAAATAACTGGCATCTGTAAAAAATAAATTTCCAATTTTAAACATTTTTCCCTGTTAAAAACCAGTATATTATTGATGAAGCTTGCTTAATGTTCCTCAGATCATGAGCTAAAGCCTTATTTACATGATTCTTTCATTTGACTATCAATCAAAATGTAAAATATGCTATCTTAACCTAAATGCAGCATAGTGCTGAAAAACTATGAATCTTAATGCCAAAAGTATTATCTTCAAATAAAACACTTTGTTTATCTTAATTTTTAAACAAGTTTTTTAAAATTTTCATATTAGAAATAGTTAGTTTAGCACATAACAGCTATCTGAACTTTGTTAAAACTGGGGAATTGAATCCCAGGTTCTAGCATAGTAAGTTCATAAATCTACTACTGACCCACTGGTGAAACAAGAAGCAACATTTGAAACAAAATTATTTTATTCAGGAAAGTAAGTGTATTAAATTCTCAAATTGAAATACATAAATGTCGGCTAAAAACGGTATATCTCAAATAAAACTTTTTTACTGAGGAAAGCAGGTGAACCAAGCACACAGAGGGAGGCACATGTATTAAGCTTCCCTCGGGAAGCAGGTAAATAGTTTAGTCTGGGAGTCAGGAGCAAAATGTTTACCTACGAAACATGAGTATCTCAAAATGATAAAAATACAAAACTGTGAAAATCTATAATGTACAAGTGCTGCACAAAGAACACAAAACAATGAAGATCTATTCACAAGGGCAAGGTAATGTTATGAAAAATGAAAAAATCTATTCAGAATAGGTGGTTGATACAGGAAAAATGTAAAATCTATGTCTGTTTTGTTGAATTTCATGCAAAGCTGCTCAACGGCTTTTCTCACTAGCTGTCTGTAATCTTGAAGTGATAGACTAGAGAAAAGGTAGCTAGTCAACACCATCAACAAACCACTCTTGGGCTACTCTTTACCAACAGATAGTGGGGTTAACTGTAATACTAGATTTAGATATTATTACTATATCAAGAACACAAATATTTATTATCTGAACGAAAATGTTAGTGATGATTTTTTTAACTTCAGATCTGAAATGTTACCTTAATGATTTCTTGCTCAGTTAATATCCATGAAACCACTAGATATTTATACCAGGTCAATGTTGTAATCATCATTAAATCAAAATCCAATAGATGATCAGAAACAAAATAATTAAATTTTTGATATTTTTAGGGCTATTTACAAATTTTAGAGTGGACTTAACACATCAGGAAACTTAGTGCCTCTAGAAATACTGTGATCAACAAAAAATGCAATTATTCATCCTATACAGGTACTGTTGAAATAACATACAGAAATATAATGATTTAACCTTAATAGTCAACACTGCCCACTGTCAACTCTTGGGCTACTTTTTACCAACAAAACTTGGGTCTGACCATTACACTATAATGCCCCCATGGCTAAATGGTAAGCATGTTTGAGGATGCCTTTCAATACCATGACCTGCAGATAGTATGTTAAACAGATACACAAAAATGGTGATCCATTCTTAATAAAAGTTGTGTTAAATACACAAAAAAGTTGATCAATCCTAAGATGTCACACTCAAAAATGATGATTCATCCTTAATTGATGTCATGTTAAACACACAGAAATGATGATACATTCTCAATAAATGTTTTAGTAAATACAAAAAGTATACATATAAAAATAGACCTTACATGTGTGCCTTGGAAGGAACAAAAAAGGATCAATCATTCACATGTGTCAGTGACACAGATGAACACATGGGTGCAAATCCACATTCAACATGTGCTAATAAACTGCTAAGTTTGAAATTTGAGTTTTTTATTGAAAGCATACAATAGCAACTTACTAAAAATAATTTATTCATAAGTTTATAGAATGTTTTTGAATCATATGCAAACGTGGCTTCCAAGCAGATACAATGACTCTCAAAGGGTTAAGAATTAAAGGAGAACAGGTTAACTTCCTTATCTTATTAATTATCACTCAAATTACACAGAGAAACTACTTTAGAGAGGATACACAAGACTACCCGCTGCTAGAAGAGCCAAAGATCTAACTGAAGAAGTCATTGGATAGGAACTTTCAGTCTTCAAGATACTTTGCATTTGATTAAGGAGATCTTTGCGAGAGTGAAATATGTAGTTTTGGTTTAAGTGAGAAGGGTGTAAAGCTTCAGCAATGAGCCTCACAGTCTGCAGCATGCTCTGTTTAACACCTAGATCCTGAAAACAGGAAAAAAGAGACTGTAAACAAATACAAAACTGTGATAACACAAGAAAACAAAACAGAGAAAATCTGTTTCATATCTTTCTTGATAAAAAAAAAAACCATCAACAGGGTATCCCAAAATTCCTTAGTGACTGAAGCATATCCTTAAACACCCAAGTCACTTTCTTCAACAATTGACAACACCATCTGTACACACATTCTTTAAATATAAAATATTTGTTACAATGACAAATTTGGAGAGCTTGTAAACATACATCTGTATATTAATAACTAATATTTCTCAGAACTGACCAACTCACCTTAGAAGAATGAGAAAAATGAGCAACACTCCTCAATATTGGTGTTTCAATACGAGTCATTAATATTGCAGCAGGAGCATTCATAGCGATGTGTCCATAACACAAAATTATGGTAGCTTTTAACTTGTCATGAACACTGTCTCCTTTAAAATCCTGAAAAATGAAAAAAGTTACAAAATTAATGCTTAACACTGAAACATTTGTGATAAAACATGTTAAATGAACACTTGTGATAAATACATTTAAGATCTAAACATAATGTTGAATAAAATCTTAACACTGCTGAAGAGCCAACTAATATCTAATGGTGTTACTTCTGACACAAACTGTAAGTTTGTTCCTGTATGTTACCTATCAATATTGTAACATGCCCAATCCTTACTGAAGGTCATTTATGACACTAACAATTGTTTTTTTTAACATCTTAAGCTGCTGTGTATTGCCTGGAGATCCACATCTACAATCATGGCTTTAATCAGTACACTCAGTCAAGTACCCTACAACTTATGATGCAAATTTTATGGGTTGTGTCCACAAATTATAAAATTGACTTAGCCACAAAGTGTTCCAAATATAATGTATCTGCAACTTGGACTTATAATGTTGGCCAAAATCATGTCTGGTAGCAGCTAATGGGCAGTTTTTTTGCTCATACTGCTTTAAAATAAAATGTATGGTACTTTTGTGCAAAGAAAATGTTACAAAGAGTTACAAACATATACATAAATAATCTTTTCAAGATTATAGTATCACTCTTATAATAAGCCTCTCACATACTATGAAATTTAAAGTATGTTTTTATGCTTTATCTATGTTTAGAACATGTATATTACTTACCTCAAACGTTGAGTATGATCTTTATTTATAAGAAACATATTAATTCAAACCTAAAGGTTATATGCTACTGGCATAAAAGATATACAATATTTGATATAATTATGGGAACAACAAGTAAAAATAGTATTAAAGTGTTAATATTATGAAATACTGTATGAAAGGGGCTTGGCACAGCTTGGTGGTCAGTGTGTTCAACTTGCAACATCGGGTCACAAGTTTGAATCCCCATCACTTAACATTCTCGTCCTACATGGGTGTACTCTGGGTCAGCCACCTAGATGTGAAAATTCTGGGTTTATAAAACTACATGCCAACTCCAAACTAGTTGGGATTGAGGTTGTTATGGAGAAGAATACTCCTACTGTATGAAAATTAACTGCACTAGAGTACAGTCTGTTACTTAACCAATGCCATACCAGCATAAAGCCAACAAAAGTATTCAAAGTAATATGGTTCTCAGCAGTTGGGTGGTGTATGTACCTATAACTCCCAGGAGAGAAATATTATATGACAAAAAGTGTACAAATCAAGTTTTGAATGGCAAAAGCTAATCCATGCAACAGATTGAGGTAAAATTTGATGTTTCAGTAAAAGCTGTAAGTAAACTCTGACAGGGGACTTGAAACTAGTGCTGTTGATAATAGAAGTCACCTAGGTAAAAAGCCCAAACTCTTCAAAAGTGATGTTAAATAACTCAGAACATGCTTTGTATGCTATACATAAAAAACTAGAATAGATCTTGTCAATGACATAGCAGTAAGTACAAGTGTGAATATTACCTCCAAAGCAGTAAGATACACATCATGACAAATTGGCTACAACAGATGAGTATTTGCTCAAAAACCACTGTTTAAAAGATATAATCATAACAAAACGCTGAAATAGGCATCATACTTCAAACAATGGGATACACAAAACTGACAGAAGATGTTCTTTATAGAATAATCCAAAATTATCAAAAATCAATGAAAATTTGTTTGAGAAAGGTATAACAATCAATCTACAGTGAAGCATGGTAAATGACCAACACAAGAGTGGACTGCATATCAGTCAATGGTGCTGGAATTCTAGACAAAATTAAAGGCACCTTGATTGAAGATGCATACAAGTGCATAATAATATCAGGAATAAGACCTTCCAGCAAGACAGTGATACTAAGTATTTTGTGGGCTTCATGAGCAACACTGCGTGAAACATTTGTGACTGTGGAGCCACTGTCCAATGTATTTTGTCTCCTTCATGAGCAACACTGTGTAAAACATTTGTGACTTTGGAGTTACTGTCCAATGTGTTTCATCACCTTCAAAAACTACACCGTGTAAAACACTTGAATAACTAACAAAGTAAAACTGAAAGTTGTATAACTTGAATAACCAATGAAGTAAAACTGGAAGTTGTATAACTTGATAAAGCAATGAAGTAAAACTGAAAGTTGTATAACTTGAATAAGCAACGAAGTAAAACTGAAAGTTGTATAACTTGAATAAGCAACGAAGTAAAATTGAAAGTTGTATAACTTGAATAAGCAACGAAGTAAAACTGAAAGTTGTATAACTTGAATAACCAATGAAGTAAAACTGAAAGTTGTATAACTTGAATAAGCAAGAAGTAAAACTGAAAGTAAAATTGAAAGTTGTATAACTTGAATAAGCAACGAAGTAAAACTGAAAGTTGTATAACTTGAATAAGCAATGGAGTAAAACTGGAAGTTGTAAATAACCAATGAAGTAAAACTGAAAGTTGTATAACTTGAATAACCAATGAAGTAAAACTGAAAGTTGTATAACTTGAATAACCAATGAAGTAAAACTGGAAGTTTTATAACTTGAATAAGCAACGAAGTAAAACTGGAAGTTGTATAACTTGAATAACCAATGAAGTAATACTGGAAGTTGTATAACTTAACCAATGAAGTAGAACTGGAAGTTGTATAACTTGAATAACCAATAAAGTAAAACTTGAAGTTGTATAATTTGAATAACCAATGAAGTAAAACTGAAAGTTGTATAACTTGAATAAGCAACGAAGTAAAACTGAAATTTGTATAACTTGAATAAGCAATGAAGTAAAACTGAAAGTTGTATAACTTGAATAACCAATGAAGTAAAACTGAAAGTTGTATAACTTGAATAACCAATGAAGTAAAACTGAAAGTAAAACTGGAAGTTGTATAACTTTAATAACCAATGAAGTAAAACTGGAAGTTGTATAACTTGAATAACCAATGAAGTAAAACTGAAAGTTGTATAACTTGAATAAGCATCGAAGTAAAACTGAAAGTTGTATAACTTGAATAAGCAACTAAGTAAAACTGAAAGTTGTACAACTTGAAATGCAGCAACTTAACCCAATAAAACTTCTGCCAGTACAAAACAGTGTAAAATCCCACACGATTTCAACTTCCATTGCTTAACCCTCTGAACTTCAGCTCGTATTTTACACAACCTTGTAACCACCATATATCTGCAAGGGTATACATACTGTAACCGTGAAAGTATTTAATGTACCTTAACAAAATTTGGCAAGCTTTTAGTAAACATTACATGTTTTTGGTACATAAAAAAATCAGATTTTTTAATTAAGTATTTTCACAAATCAGAGAAGATGGAATACCTAGAGAGCAATTCACAATTCTCATGCTATGTAAATTTAGGAAAATACTGCCTTATTATATTGAAACTTAAAATCTACATAATATTAAAATATAGATTATTAGCTACATTTTGATACAAAGTTCATTCCTATATCATGACAATAAAGTAGTTTAATTAAGTTTTGAATGTAACTCATTAAAACCTAATGACAAGTGAAGAAAAGGATTACCTAAATGGAAAGAGTTGGAAATACTTTTTTCAAATTTTATTTACATAACTTCTAAAACCTCCTAAATGAATACAAAACGTTTTAATCGAGTAAAACTTTATATTCTGATATTTTCTCATAATTCTACACAGACTCGATTTATTTGATTGACCCTGTAACCACCATAAAAAAATAAAAAATAAGTTTAAATTACCTTTTTTTTCTTGAATGACTGCTGATTGCAACAGAAAACTACAATTGTTTATACTATATAGCTTGTGGCTCATAACAGTCTACACCTGTTTCTATTTAATTTTATTATTTTCTTGCTTTCTGAACCATGTATAACAAACAAACTTATGAAACAAACTGTATGTCACTCAGTGAATTTGTAGCTCAAACTACAAGAATTGAATGATGTAACACACAAGCTACTTGTGAGCATACTTCATGGAGATTTTTTTCATTATATTATGTAATTTAACCTTATCTAAACTAACAAGTTTCTAATCATTAAATTATAATTACTTTTGTGACAATAAATAAAAATATAACAAAAAAAAAAAACAAGAAATATAGTACTTATGTTTGGTCTCTTGTTTCTTTGTTGTTGGCCAACCAATGAAATTTAAGCCCACTTTTTTTGTTTAATGATGTCATTAGTACATTATATAATTTTTTATTTAATTGAAGAATACACACAAGAACATAGAATAATAACATAAACAAATCAAACATTGTCCTATAACTAAAGCATTAAAATAATTCCCTTAACTACTTGATCTGAACTGGTCAACAGGAACTTTCAATCTGCAGACAAAGTAACTAAAACTCTGTATTGAGATCAATGTAGCATTATTTGTGATTCAGTAAGTTAAATCATTGTCTTTCAATTATTATAAATGATGCAATAGAAAACATCAGAAAGAATTACTGGCAATTTGTGAAAGAGAGGATGTGACAGGTGGATCTCACTTTCTAGTTGATGTCTCCATAAATATAGAGTGAAGGCTAGAAATATTAGATTTTGCCTTTGTAAAATCTATACTATAATGAGTAATTTACATTAAAATCAGGACATTACAGAGTAGTAGAAAAATTGAGGATGGGTAAGCTGTAGGGAACAAAGATCAAAATTCTCATTCAAAGGGAGATTAAGGATTTATTGAAATATTTTCTTTTAAGAATAAAAATTCTAACTTATAAAATATTAAAAATTTGATTTATTGGTTATGTTTTGGTGCTAAGTTTATTCCTACATAGTGATAATAAAATTTGAAATTTAACTGTGTAAAAGGTTGTAACATAACACATTTTTACCTACCCATAATTACAGAATTAATACAAAAATAAGTTAAACAAATGTTTAAACAACTCT